TTCCAGTTGTTAAGAGACCTGGCCCTTTCAAAGCGAAGGATTACCTCTCGAGATCCTTCCTATCCCTGTGTTTTCATGGAAAAAGCAAAGACTAAGGCCACCACCTCCCACCAGATCCAAGTCAGGCTTTCCAGAACAGAGCTGGGGCCGGCTGCCCCGCAAAGCCACAGCCTCTCACCGCCCTGAAGGAAAGGGCTCGTGCGAGCCGGGGAGACCAGCAAACAAGGGCCCTCAGTCCAGCCCTTCCTTCCCACACCGAGGGCCCGGATCCAGCCAGTGCCGCGGTTCCAAATTCCCTGGAGTTACTCAGCTGACTCACTGGGAGCAGTCTGCTGGCAGGAGCGTGACCTCGTTTCACCCTCCAGGAGCCTGCAAGCCTGGCTCAGGCTGGAACCCGCACTAAAAATAGCTCTGCGTGATTAACAAAAAGACGGCTCCGTTTTTCTCTTTCAACACCGCGTATTTGCACATCAACTGCTCCTTTTGTTTACGCTGGGGAAACCCAGACGTGGCATTATTTTTAGGCACAGGAACAGAGTCACCCTGGCATGTCAGTGATGCAATAACCCCGCTGCTCCAACAGCCCAGAGCGCACCAAGCGCTGCGCTGCTCCGACGCCTCCCGGGAGCCTCCGTGCAGGTTTCCAGGCCGGAAGAGCCGCTGCAGGGGGAAGGCGGGGAGCTGCCCCTTACCCTCCGCGCTCCTTCCTCACCAAGGGCGGAGTCGGGCTGTTTATCTGTGCTGCTACCAGCTCCGCTCTCACCTGCCTCTGTGTTCTGCGTTTTCTCCAGCTGCTGTTCTCAAGAAAAGGGTTTTCACTAGAAAACCTTTGCCGCAACCCTCAGAAACCAGAACTTTCTCTAAACATCCTGGAAACGTTGAATTTACGGTTCTGAACTGAAACTCCAGGGAAACCTGCAGCCACAGGCTGCCTCCCGGGCAGGGGGGGCTCAGCACACGCGAGGGGTTCTCAGGGCAGAGCTGACGGAGCGCGTCGCCCCTCCAGCTGCTGGACGCAGGGAGGCCGCCTGGGGTGCTTCCGACCCAGCACTTACTTCTTAATTTCAACTAATTACAACGCAACCAGCATCCTACGCTTCCTTCCGCACCCTTCTCGGCCACGGCAAATCCTGCTCCCATGAGGAGCCGGGTGGTTTTCTCCCTCTTTATGTACTAGCCCCACCCCCAGCAGCACAAGGCGGCTTTTCCACAGGGCCGAGCCCGGCGCGGTGCTGGAAAACTGCCCGGTGAGGGGGCTCAGAGCGGGAGACCCCCTTTTCCTCCACAGCGGCGATGAGGACGCTAGCCGGCGTCTCGTGACCGAGGCAATCGCCCCCGACAGGGTTGGTGGAAGAGAACGAAGGACGCAAACTGGGTTTTGTGCTAAAACTACGCGAGACACAGCCGCCCGGCAGAGCCTGCGACACGCCGGGACAGAGACTCCTCTCACCTCCGAGTCTTCCGCGCTTTCGTAATCCGAGAGCACAGCTGCAGGGGAGAAAAAGGAGTTTGGTGTCAGGGCGGAAACAAAAACGCAGCTTCTCCCCCAGCAGACCGCGGCGCGGGCCCGTTACTCACCGTCTCCTTCCATGCCATCCTCGCTTTCCTGCGGAGAGAGAGAGAGAAGGGCGCGTTAGCGGAGCGACTGGGGCCCTGCAGCACCCTACGATCCCAGAGACAATCACCAATTGGCACCAATCCTATCGGCTCTGCCCCTGGAAGTTCAGCTTCAGCGACCCAGCAGGAAGATGCAACTTTAGGGCTCCCAGTCCCTTTCTTTAAGACCCTCCTAGGGCGAGTTACGCTGGGGGACGGCAGCTGAGCGCAGGCTGTGCCGTGCGCTGGGGTCTTCAGAGGGACGAGAGCGACACGGACAGGCAATCCGAATCCGAGCTCCCCTCCCGCCACAACAGCAGCCCAGAGCACCAACTCGGGAGAGGACGAGGGGATTACTTAAAGCAGGACCCCGGAAAAACAAAGAGATGCCGAGCAGGAGCTCAGGCTGGCACCTGCCAGAGACCCCGGCGACAAACACCACCCCGCGCCCGAGAGGAGGATCGGCTCAGGTCAGGGCAGGTTTTTAGGGGCCGTGCAGTAAACACAAGCCGGGGTCAGACATAAAACCAGCCGAGGCGTTAAGGAGGGAAGCTCCAACACGAAAATAAAACCACACTAGGGTTTGGGAGGACCTCGGATAAAAGGCAGCAGGACGGAAGCACGCCCGGCCCTAGGCCGGGAGAAGGGCTGCGCGGTGGGGGTGGGGGCACCACAAACTCCCCAAAAAGGGGTTTGATGCTCTCGATTAAAAACCAGGGTTGCTCAAAGCTGATGAAGAGGGGGAGAGGCCTGAGCGGGCGGCAAACCCACCCACCCGCAGCCCAGGCTGGGGGACAGGACCCTGCAGTGGGGAGACAGCCCTGGGCTTGGGGGATCAGAGGGAACCCCCTGCCTGATGCTGGGTGGGGGGGCAGAGCCCAACCT